AGGGGCAGCAAGTTCTTTCAAAGTAGCCATTTTTTGTTCAGTTTTGACTTCAAAAAGGTTTCCAAATATTGTCTCAAAATCAGATTCAGAATCAGCAACAAACACGTTGGAAACTTCACAACCAGACTCAAGCACAGCTTCACACGGTTGGAAATTAAAAGAGTCAAGTCCAGCCACACTTACCTGGTGATTGTAACCTAGCTCAATTATTTCTCCAATAACTCTTCCACTCCTTAACAGCATGCAAAGTACACAAAGCTGCAAATTGAAACAAGAACGGTATTAGAATTCTTAAAACTTATCTTTATCACTTGATTAAGTGCTGCAAAAAGGGCTGATTTTTTTATTTGGTTTTAGTTCAAAACTTTTATCATTTAGTATCCAAGCTCTTTTCATTTTGTCCTTGTAGAGAAATTGACAAATAAGTTCCTTATAGCATCTAAAAATGAATCTCGTCTTACTTAAAACTTTTTCTAAACCCATTCATGATATTCATTTAAAAGGGCATATAAAGTCCAGTAGCTCTCTTATTTCAGTCTAAAGACTACTTTTGACGCTGCCCAGATCAGATTTTAGTAGCAAAACATCCTAAAGACATTAATTTGCATAATAAAGGATATAACTTGACCAAAGATGCGCAAATACCATGACTGGAAATACCTCGAGAGTCAAACAAGGGCGAGAGAGAGCGAATCCAAAAGCTACGACAAGGGTAATTGCTGAAACAGCAGCTCCAGCGGAAGGGGGATAGATTTTCAAACTTGCAACTACACCCCATCCTTCAATAGCTAATGCAACGCCATAAAGCAAAAGAAATGCACCACAGAGGATAGAAAGTAGAACATGAATTTTTTGGATAACTTGATAAAAATTCATTGAAAAATGAAAGAACTCCAAAACTTCAGCATACAGAGAAGAGTTCAACAAAACCTGACGTTTTTCCCACAATCTGCATGTGCATCGTACACATACACAGGTAACACCCTTGGGGAATAGACTACTATCGAAGGTGAAAGGGGGCACCTAGAGAAGACAATAATTACTGAGTTATTAAAGCAAGAAAACATGTCAAGAAGAAATAGGAAGAACATCTCACTGTGGGAGAGGGCCAACATAACAAGCCATTCTCAGCCCTAAATTATTATTTCAAGAATGATCAACTCACAGACAATGCCCTTCCAGCTAGTAGGAAAAGAAATGAGAAGTAACCAACGGATGCACAAACAAAAGCCTTGTCTGGAAAAAACCAAAAATCCAATCAAGCATTACGAAGCATGCAAATTGATATTGGTCATTATCCGAGGAGCATAGTTATCAAGGCATCGCCTAAGCGTTGCCTAGGCGACGCCTAGGCGTCTGGGCGAGATATTGGGGACGCCAAATTGGTCGTCTAGCTTTTTCCGCCTAGAATTTGACTTGTCATCGATTAAAACGCGGCAGGTTACCTGGAAAAATCTGAATCGCAGCAAAGATCCGGAATCGAAGGTAACTTGTCATCGATTAAAACGCGGCAGGTTACCTGGAAAAATCTGAATCGCAGCAAAGATCCGGAATCGAAGGTAAAAACGTGGATCCCAATCGTATAATCGTCCAATTCAGGGACGATTCGATCTTTGAAGATGCGATGCGGGTCGGGCTAGGAAGTGAATTTGCTTCTTGTCGGCTTAATTAAAAGATTTACGAGTAATTGCCGGCTACTCGCGGGTTACTACTAACGACCCATTAAAAAGTAAAAGGAACAAGACTTTAAGGGTCGGGTCGGGTAGTTTATACACCTAAATTTATTTTAGAAAACATAAATGGGTAGTGGGGGTACTGTACACTAGGAACTACTCTAAAAATTAAAAGAAAAGACTTTGTGGGTACTGTACATTTATGGAGATGGAGTAGTGGGGGTACTGGAGTAGTGGGGGTACTGTACTGGGAACTATTCTGAATATTGCAGTTTCTAATTACTCGTACTATTCTATACCTAAAGGTTTTGTTCTTCATCTCGTTTGGCATCTGACTTGATGAGTTGCTTCTTTGATTTTTTTATACTCCCTATTTATATATTATCAACATTTTGATATTTATTTTTTTAGTATCACTGTACTATTTAATCATTTTATTTATTTATTTCATACTATTCGTGTTTACATTAGTACTTAAAAAATATCAATATTGACATATCCCACTCGCCCAAGGGACGCCTAGGCGGGCGCCTAATCGCCTAGGCGTGTGGAAGGTGGTCTAGCGCCCAGCCTCGCCTAGTCGCCGTAACAACTATGCCGAGGAGTCATATGGTGATCTGTGAATCATATCATCACGAGTGATATATAAGAAAGTGATCTTACCTTGAAACCATCCAACAAGAAAGGCCGCCAAAGCCACAAGAAACGCTAGAAAACAAACAACTAGCATCTGAACCCTTTTCAGATAGAAATTATTTGAGGCCCAATAATGAATCGCACCGATAGCTAGAACTAGAAGGAGGAGAACTAAGAGAAATGTTGCTCCTATCTGTCATAATATGAAGTGAAACTCCTTAGAGATAAACAATAATAAGAGATAAATTAACCAATAGTATTGAGTTACCCTCCAAGGATGCACTGTAACTATGATGGCCGAAATGGCACCAAGCTGAAGAAGAAGACCAATAATAATGAATATATAGGCACCTCGATAAAGCTTCCAGTTATCATCTTTCCTGATAATATTTACAATAGAGTTACTCTAAATGAGGAGCAGCTCACATCTTACAATTCAAGTGCAATGGTTTAGAAGTGTGAAATGAATCCGTATAAGCTTGTTAAAGATCAGTTGGTTCTGGCAAACAACATTACCATTTAAATAAACCAGAAGAAAGTGAAAGGACTGCAAAAATGCATAACAGTGGAAGCAATGCAGCCAAGAAGTCTTCCTTCATCAGGACTTGATCAACCCTCAAACTCACAACTTTCAAATACGAGACACTACAAAATGCCACAAGAACAGCTACAAACAGATAGAGTAGAAAGAGTGTCAATCGGCATTAGTGCTGCAGGTGAACAAATGTCAAAGAAAATAACCTGAACACTTCTTTAAAGTGAGAAGGAATCAATTACCTGCAAATACACCAATAGAAATACCAGATGAGAGGGGAAACCGATATGTTACAAACCATGATATGATGGGCAGCAAGCCACTAGCTAATAAAGCAATTGCAGATGCCACTGCCCAACCAAGGTAAACAGATGATGCATAAGGAGAGGTAACAACATTCTGATCAACAGTCAACCCCTTGTACCCTAAATCATCTAATGGTTTTGCAGACACTATCACTCCAAGAGCTACAACAGATCCAGCAAATAAAGACATGTAGGCAAATAGAACACCCTGCAAAATAAATTCATTCAATTTTCAAGCATGATGTTTGTGAAACCCGTGGGAAATATTGCATATTTGCATGTCTGAATGAACTCTAACAATGGGAGAAGATTCTACAGGAAATGAGAGAAGCCCACAGACATATTCTAGAAGAGCCTGCTCACATCAAACGCCAATACAGCTATAGAAGATGGTAACCATTTCCAATCCATCAACAAAGCAACCATACATTATACAGTATAAATTAAAGCACCACTACATAATTGATAATACAACAGTTTTACCCGTTTCATTCCCAA